TACCTTTGGCTTACTGACCTGATGATAGTGCTCCCGAGAAGCGTCTGGAGGTCGTGCTACCGGATGAGCTTCAAGACTCGTTGCGTTTGCTCAAACCCGAGGGCAACTTGCTCGATGACCGATTCCGGACCTTGGTTGTTCAGGGCAAGCTAGAGGCTCGCAAACCAGTGACACAGGTCAAGAAGCCCAAGAGGGAGATTACGGTGAAATGGTCCCACAAGGACTTCAAGGTTCCAGGCTTGTAAATAGATTCCCTTTTGGCGTTATCATGCGGTGGATATTAAAAGCAATTTCACATAATATGGGTCAAGGCTGTAACGAACAATCTGTATATGCCATTATCTTATTTGATCATAGAGAGTTCATGAGCAATTGAGTAGATACATACTCCTGGAATCCTGGTGGGCTGGCTGATATGATATGGGCAATATCGATAAGCCCCTGTAACAGCGACCGAGAACTGACATGTGGATCCTGTTCCGAAAATTTAGTGCGGGAGGGAAAGCCGGTTCAGGGAAGTTGCCGGGCCAGCCTAGCCTGCCTCCGCAACAACTGAATCTTTTTTTTTGCTCCCGGATCGCCCCTCTGCCATCCTGATCAGACCACGATGCAATAGTGACTGGATCTGATTTTGGAATGGACTTGAAAAACCTCTCCAGTAATTGGAAGAAACTCCAGGGGACGTTAAAGCAAAGCAACGCCTCCTCCTCCTCCTCCGCCATCAAGCGCAAGATCTCGGACCGCGAGACGCAAAATGCTACCGTGAAAAAACGCCGAACAGACGCAGCCGACGGGAAACCGAAGATTGAACGGAAGAAAGCCACCATCAAGAAGAAAAGCATGTCGCAAAGTGCCGCCCAGGATGGAGGCCAGGAGGCCACCGCATCAGATAGCTCAAAGCCAACGGCGCGGAGGAATTCCGCCGCCGCAGCGGTCGTGGAATCGAAAACTTCCAAGGTCAATGAAGGCCGTTCACCAACGTCAGTCACCATCTTATTTGCTGTCTTGGCTCTCCTCAGATATGGTTGCTGACTGTAGACTAGTGCTGAGCTAGGGAAATACGTTGCGATGGATTGCGAAATGGTGGGCGTTGGCCCCAACCCCGATAACGACTCTGCCCTTGCGCGTGTCAGTATCGTCAACTTCAATGGCGAGCAGGTTTACGACTCGTATGTCAGACCCAAGGAGATGGTCACGGACTGGCGAACGCATGTCAGCGGTATACTTCCGAAACACATGACCAATGCGCGGTCACTCGAGCAGGTTCAAAAAGAGGTTACGGAAATTCTCAGTGGGCGCACACTCGTGGGACACGCGGTGAGCAATGACTTGGATGCTCTGCTTCTGAGCCACCCCAAGCGCGATATCAGAGATACCAGCAAACACCAGCCCTACCGAAAGGTAGCTGGCGGAGGCTCCCCACGTCTGAAGATGCTGGCTTCCGAATTCTTGGGCTTGAATATCCAAGATGGTGCCCACTCTAGTGTTGAGGATGCGAAGGCGACAATGCTCTTATACCGGCGGGACAAGGACACATTCGAACGAGAACACTTGAAGAAGTGGCCGGTGCGCGTGGTAGTTGAGAAGGAACCGGGTGACGATCAGAAGAAGAAGAAGAAAAAGAAGAAGAAGACCCGTAAGAGGTGATTCCAACAATATCCTGATGAGTCGGCAAGATCTATCTGTCTTAAATATACCCCAGCTTGATTAAGTTACAAAGCTACTCAACATCTGAGGCTCTTCTGAGTATATAGAAATGAATGAACAATACCTATTCTACGTTACTTTCTCCAAGTACTCCGGCATGGAGGTGCAAGATCTACTATGGTAGTCGAAATAAATGAACTCGGGTGGACGACGGAAAGACACTCCGCTTCCGCTCCGTTCGCCCACTTTACGCGGGCAACGCGTCGCGTTTCTCCGAGGTCGAGCATACAACCATCATCGAAGAAGATAATAGGGACAATCAAACATTGCTACTCAGAAACAATTCTTCACCATTGTTCAAATTGGTATTGAGACTTCTCTATAGCTTGCCAAACTTTAGCTACTGCAAACTAAATCAATACCTGCCAATCTCTTCTCACAAAGCAAACATGTTCGCCATCCAAGCAGCGCCAAAGTCGTCTGCGACTGAAACTCAACCGTCAACGGATCGGTTCACTCCAAACATCCTCCCCTGCAAAATCCACTACGATGGGCCCGTGAAGACATTGAATCGGTATTGGGAACCCCAAGCCGACGAGAAAGGTAAGAGTCGCAACGCCAGCTCTTCGTACTCGCAATTCGCTCGCTCATTGATGGGAATACTCGACAGAGGAAGATGTACAGATCGCATATTTCCGCGGTCGTAGACTCAAGGGTCGACAGGTTGCTATTCCAGAAGGCTATGAAGGTGCGGGAAACAAAAATTTCTTGCGGAAATTCTTCCCTGAATTCCCAACTAATAACATCTTAGGCGTCATCGCAACAAGCACAGACCGTGTATTGCCCCCTACTCGCAATGAGAACGAAGCCGATGTTGAGGAAGTCCATCCGGAGGAGCCGGTCAAGATTCTCGAGAAGCAGGGAACCTTCAACGAGTATATGGTTTGGGGGCATGAGTTGGTACCCGCGGCGGACGATGCCTTCGTGAAGGGGGTAGAGGAGTGGATCAAACTGGCTGAAGCGGTATGTGTGCATGCACTTTCTGGCCGGTTTCTACTAAAGATCTTGTTGTAGATGCACGGCCAGTCCAGCAATGAACCAAAGCCGTCTTCTTGAGCGACTCCCTCGGAATATCGAAAGGTTTTCGCCCACCACAATGAGCCAGACAGAATCAGCTCTCATCGCAGCGGCGCCAACTTCTCTCACAGCCGCATTCTTCACCTCTAGCCCAGGGTCAATCCGAACATGTTCGCGACGTGGCCCAATCACCATTCTGCGGACGCGCAAACCGAAGCATGGCGGGCATAATGGCGCAATAGACGGCGGGCATCAGTATAGACGATGTAGTCCGTGACATACAAACGAGAAAAGACTGAGGGTAACCCAGGATTATGTCTACCATATAGATCTTGTTATTGGGAGGAGGAAAGGTACACACCCACGAGCATCACGGGTGAGCAATATATAGTTAGATTGCATGGAGCTTTTCCGCTCTGGGCTCGTCTTCTATCCACGAGTATATTTGCACTTTTGTTAAACAACTCTAGATGTCACAATGAGAACCCTATACGACTAAGGGTTTGCAAATATAATAACTAGTAGAGGCTGGAGTAAACTGTACGATAGTCAATGGATCTCCGCCCACGTTCCTTGAGCAATCGATAAAGTTCACCGCCAACACAATTCTGCCCAACGAAGAATATCTGGGGTAAAATCATCAACATTGACCTCCATTACAACTATACCCCAATTTCGTCATTCCTGCAAGCCATTTCCCTCAATGGCCAGTGATACAGACCGTCCTGCCCCGGAGGCTCTGATCTCCAAGTTCGAGGTCGACAGGTTGCTCAAGCAAGGTACGATACTCCATTATCCCCTCACCTGCGGAGCTCGCCCCTCTCCCTCAAAACGCACCATCAAATGACCTAAATGGTATCGTGATTCTATACTGTTGACTGACACGGTTTCAAAACAACTACAGACCAAAGCGGCCGCCGCATCGCCATCCTCGGCGCCATCGACGGCCAACAGGGCATCCTGACCGCCGAACGCGCCGCCTTCGCAACCGAGACCCCTGCCGTCCTCCAAGCCTTCCACGCCGCGATCACGCACGTCACCAACCTCGGCGACAATGACATCTACCGGTGGTACCTGGCGTCCTCCGGCCCCGACGCCGGCGGCCAGCAGCCTCCCGACCTCAAGCTGAACCTCATCTGGCCGTGCACGGACTCCCACATCAAGAAGTACTCGGAGCAGGTGGTCCGCATGGTCACCGAGACGCCGGCGATCTACCGCGACCACGTCCGCCCGTACATGCGCGCCAAGCGCGAGGAAGGGCGGCTGAACTGGGTATTCAATATTCTCGAGGGCCGGACGGAGCAGGAGGATGTGATCCTGCGGGATGAGGGGAGACGATACCACGATGGGGCGGCTGATGATGATAATGATGATGTTGATGATGATGGGTTTCTGATGCTGCCGGACTTAAACTGGGACCGGAAGACCATGGGATCGCTGCATTTGCTGGCCCTGGTGCAGCGGAGGGATATCTGGAGCTTGCGCGATCTCAAGAAGAGACACATCCCGTGGTTGAAGTATCTGCGGCAGCGGCTGCTCGAAGGAACGGTGAAGATGTATCCGGAGCTGGAGCAGGATCAGTTGAAGCTTTATGTGCACTGTGAGAGAGACTCTTTCGCTATATGTTTTTCCCCCCGGTTGGACGGTCTTTTGCTAACACCAGTCGCTTGAATTGCCAGACCAGCCAACATACTACCATTTCCATGTCCACGTCGTCAACGTCATGCTGGAAGCGGGCGCTACACAGGCCACGGGGAAGGCGTTTGGGTTGGAAAATCTCATCTCTCAGCTAGAGACTCTCTCCGGTGACGAGGATGCAGGCATGGCGGATGTGAGTCTGACTTACTTCCTTGGAGAAGCCAGCGAGCTATGGACGAACGTCTACGGGCCATTGAAGAGAGGGGAAAAGCCGCTGGCCGCATGAGACGAGGTTATATAGATCGACACTAGATATTTGATGTTATGAGCTAGAAATGACATGATGACAATTGTTTTTTTCTTCCAGTCACCTTTGGTCTTACGATTACTCAAATATTTGTTTTGTATTTGCACGATGACGTTTTGCCCGCCCTTTGCCCCCCGAGACTTTTCCCAACCCCGCAACACCGAAAGTCAACCCCTCATCAACCAAACAAACCATCTTCACATACTCTTCTGCATACGCTCTCCCACCCACGCAACTCTCCATTTCCACGTCCAAACCGAGACCCGCAATAACCTTAGATCTGAAACAAACAAATCAGACCGGTTGATTCCTCCCTCTACCACCCGCAACAATGGCCGACAACCCGGACGTGGAATCCACCAACAAGGCCTTCGTGCCCCTCGGTACGTTTACATCCCCTGCCAACAACACCAACAACACCAACCAACCCAACTCCCCAACAAATACCCTACACCCCCCCGAGCTAACCACGAAGTGTGTTTTAGAAAACAATCCCGAAGTAATGACCCACCTCATCCACCAACTAGGCCTGCCGACAACCCTAGCCTTCACAGACGTCTACTCAATCGACGAACCGGACCTCCTCGCCTTCGTGCCCCGCCCCTCGCACGCCCTCCTCCTCGTCTTCCCCGTCTCCGCGACCTACGAAGCCGGCCGGATCACCGAAGACAGCCACCTGCCCGACTACACGGGCTCCGGCCCCACCGAACCCGTGATGTGGTTCAAGCAGACCATCCGCAACGCCTGCGGGCTGATCGGCCTGCTGCACGCCGTCGCCAACGGCGAGCCGCGGCGGCAGATCATCGCGGGATCGGATCTGGATTCCCTGCTGCAAGACGCGGAGGGGTTGGATCCCGTGCGCCGGGCGGATCTGCTGTACGAGAGCAAGGCGCTGGAGAGCGCGCACGCGGACGCGGCGCGGCTGGGCGATACGCAGGCCCCGCTGGCGGAGGAGAATGTGGATCTGCACTTTGTGGCGTTTGTGAAGGGTGCGGATGGAAGGTTGTGGGAGTTGGATGGGCGGAGGAAGGGGCCCCTGGAGCGCGGGGTGTTGGGCCCTGGGGAGGATGCGTTGAGTGAGAGGGCGTTGGAGTTGGGGGTAAGGCGGTTCTTGCAGGTGGAGGCCCGGGGCGGGAATCCGGATTTGAGGTTTAGTTTGGTTAGTTTGGGGCCGAGTTTTGATTGATCTCCAGGGGACAGGATTCGGAGAGGGGGTGGTATTTGTTTCTTGCTCTTGTATTCGGCAAAGTAGGGTCGATAATGGGGATATAGCTTGTGGTCTTCAAGGTTGCAGGGACGTAAGGTAAAGGCGGTCCTTATACCTTGTTTCACATATACATTGGGCAATCGGGTTATTGGCACAGGCAATGGCTACTAGGAGAATGAGCCCGACATAAATACCCATACCCTCAAGAATATACGCACAGGCTGAGCCTTCAATCAAAGCCATGTCATGCCATGCCATGCTGTACCATCCAATCAACTCTCAACCCACCATTCCTCCGCATTAAACTTCAGAGCTTCATCCCCAACCGCCCACCATCCCGCCGTGAGATTACGAGCAAATACCTCCAAAGCCGTATATCGCATCCCAGCCTTGTCTCGAGGACTGTCATCAGAAAAAAATACCCGCTCAAATACCTCGCGCAAGTTTGGCTTTCGCGAATGAACATCCGGCACAGCCGCAATCACTCTTCGCGTAATGCTTCCCTCGCCGTCTTTTGCTGCGGGGTGGGACTTGAGATGACTGTCGTCGGCCCGAGAGGAAGAGACAGAGAGATCTGCCCTCCTCCTTCCGATCACCAGGATCTCATAAGGCTTCCGCCAGAGCGCACCCACCGGCGTGATGGGATCGCCCTCCGTCGTCGTCTTCACCCACACCCACTCTTCGCAGACCGTCAGCCCGGCCCCATGGATCGCGTCGTAGGCCGTCTTGCGGGCTTTCCCTGAGTTTGTGATCCAGATGGCTGCGATGGCGCTCCTGCGACGGCCGTCTCTCCACTGTTCAGCGGCCTCCTCCTTCTCGTCCTTGTTGGGCAAAGGAGAGTCCTGGGCTAGATGGACGGACAGGACATTGCAAATGCGCTGGGTGAGCAGCTCCCAGTCGAGGTAGGTCTGAGTGTGGTAATGACCGCTGCGACGGACTGAGCGGTTGGCCCAGGGTGGGTCAAGCAGAATGAGATCGAATTTTCGGTGGTGAGGGAGACCTGGGATGGGGGTTTCTGCGTTCGCCACGGGGGTCGTTGAGATCGGAATTCTGCATTGAAGGAAGCTTGACAGCGGCGGAATGTAGAAAGAGTGAGGAACAGAGCGTGATGATAGGTGGTGAGGTCCGCTGTGATAGCATCGTGTATCGTCCGCTGTCCTCTCCAGATCCACTGCACAGGTAGTGTGCACCGTGGCTGATTCCAACGACGTATTGTGGACTAGGATGCTGGAGAGCTCTGACATGCAGCTGAAGCGGTTCACGCCGGGAGACACTATCAACGGAGGATCGAGGGAAGCGCATGTCGCAGCATTGGAGGTAGCAGAAGCAGAGTCGGTCCGCTTCATCGCAGCGTCCCCATTCCCGTGGCTATCGCTGCGTGTTCGCCCCGCCGTCCCCTTCCTCTTCTTCGGGAGGGGAGCTTCATCACCCATGTCCCCATTGCGTGGTAAGTCCGGTGCGCTGGGGTCTATCTCAAGCCGCGGAAGACACCATTGGAATCCCGAGTCGAGCGCACTGCGTATTTGGGATAACCCCTCCGTCACCAGGGGTTCGAGGATCTCGGAATGCAAAAGCCTCTCCGCAAGAGGGGTTCTTTCAAGAACTCTTGCCCGGGCTGCATCAGTTTTCGGCTCTGTACGAGCCGGATATGGCGCCCTCAATGGTGGTGTTGAGAGAAGTGTTCGATTCCTGTCGTTTTTAGCGGAGGGCAAGAGCGCTGATGATTGAAATGGGGAGAGTGACTGCGCGCGAGCGATTGATGCGGGAATATCAATCAAGAAGGTGGTGGCGTGGGGATCTTGATAAAGTATAGCTGATGGTGACGGTGCTATCATACTCGTACGTACGTCAGCTAGAATAGTATAGGCCAGACTAGAGCAGTTGGTTGGTTGGATCACGCTGCGGTAATTTTCTCTTCCCCCAACAAGAACTACTCAGTATAGGTTACCCTACTAAGTATTACCCGGGCGGCGGCCCAGCCAAAAATGGCTTGCCGTTGACATGCGAATTAGACTTCATCTTCGTTGTAGCTCAATTAGGCTCCTTAACCACGCATGTACAATATACAACCTCTGGATACAAGAGGCCTCGAGGAAAGACTGGAAGATCGCAAGACGCTCTCTGTTTTGATACCCAATGTAGATTATAGTGAACAGGAGATAGAGCCAACCTCCCCAAAGCGGTTATGAAATCACTTAAATGCTTATGGACATGGGTGACACCACGATGCTTCGGACAAACAATAAACAATAACACTTTTTTCTCATATCAGTCCTTCCTCCATTTCCGAGACGATCCAGCGTCGGTCTAGGTGTGACAAAGGTCATTTCATGCATATAGCCATACTACTCTGTATCCCGGAAACTGCAAACAAAAGATCAAAGTAAAAAAAAAAAAAAAAAGAGAAACTTTATACATAAGGTTGAAGTTAATGGCAGATTAAAGCATCTTAGGGAATCCTCAATGCTGGAGGCAACCCGACATCAGCTTCGTTCACACAGGCGAGTCCCGGGCTTTCACATGTGCTGGGGGTGGCTTGGACGTCCACGCCGGCCCCCGGCAGACTGCGCCTGGGCTGGCTGTGCTTGGGCATAGAACTGTGAAGGGTACTGATACATTTGAGAAGTGCTCATGACGGGGCTGAATTGCTGAGGAGCGAAAGCCGCCTGATTCAACATCGAGCCTGGGTTAATTTGCTGGGTGGGAGGCCCGGCCAAGGAAGCAGCCTGAGTCTGAAAGGACCGGAGGTTGTCTGCTGAAGGGGCGCCAGCCGCAAACCCAAAGTTGGAGTTCCCGAGACTTGGATACAGCCCGGACGGCGAAAGGCCACGGCTTTGCGCCGCCAGATAGGCTTGATACTGTAGCTGTTGCTGGGCCAAAGGCGTCATAGGGTCTTGGCCAAATCCGGATGCGTTAACCCCTCCTATCCCGCCAAGAGGGTTGATACCACCGGCAGAACCAAGGCTGTTCATTCCATTGATGCTGTAAGGGTCGTATGCTGCGGCACCGGGTTGCTGTTCCGACGGCATAGGTCTGGAAGCGTCCATGTTCTGGTTAAGCATAGTAGGGAATGGCGCGCTATATTGCCTCTCCTGCGGAGCGTAGTTCGAGGCTGCCTGGCGAGTAGTTGGACGGTGTTGTTGCTTGTCCGCATTAGGTCCGTGATCACGTCCATGGTGATTGTCCCGGGCATTTCCACGCGAAGATAGACCGACTTCATCCATCAGGCGTTTATATCCTTGACTGGGGGTTGCCTTAAGTTTGATAAGAACCTTGGAAACATTCTTGACAACCTCGGCGCGCATTGACTCGTCAAAGAAAGGTGTAGTAAGAACCTTGAAAATCAGGGTCGCTCCCGAAGTCTGGTCACTCAGAATTCTTTCCAACACCTCGTCACCCGGACTGAAGAACAGAGCCTTCAGCACGATCTCACGGGCCTCAGGTTCATTTCGCTGATTGATGACCTTCAAGACGGTAAGATAAGCGACCTTATGGGTGCAGAGATGAACGAGATGAGGAACCAGCCTCGGTGCAAGCACAGTGCGGCGGTGTGGGAACGTGCAAGTATCGAGGAACCAAGTGAGCAGAAGGGCACCGTTGGCATTCGTTGCAAGTTGCACACTGTGAAGAGCGATGGCCGCAGCGAGCATGCGCTGCTGGTCCTTTGTGGCATGGTGACTCTCAAGACAAGCCCGCATGGCCCGAGCACCGAATCGGCCCTGGGCAATCTCCCACATCCGACTGAGCATAGTCTCGAAGATGAAGTCGTTGAACGGGGCACCGAAGCGTAGACAGCACTGCAGTACGTAGTTTCCATACTGATCAAGGAACAGAGGTACAGTGTATGGCCGGAGAGCATCAACGATCAACCCCATCTGATTTGGTGTCTTAGCGACATCAATGATTTTCTGGGCGGCCCATGTTCCGTTCTTATGAATACCAATTTCAGCGAGGTGGGGAGCAATCGGCGCCAGCATCTGTTCCTTGGTTGATTCGGAACAGAACTCGAAAAGCTTTTGAACCACGGTGTTGCCCAGATAGTCCGACGCCAATTCGGCAATCTCTGGAAGCATCGCAACTGCTGTCTCTTCGATTTCCTGTACAGAACAGGCACCATTGTCGATCCTCTTGCGGATATCGCGGAGGCGAGGGGCATCAAACATTCTTGTCTGGCTAGGTTCAGCAATCGATGGGATCTCGTCCTCGAACGCATCAAACGAAATGGCGCGTTGAACACTAGCAGAGATGTTCAAAGCATCCTCTTCAGCAGCACCAAACTCCTGAACGATCTGAGCCATCTCTGGTTGGAGCTCCGAAAGAGCTGGGATTTGAGGGACGATGAGCCCGCCCTCGGATCTGGCCAGACCGTCGGGCCCATTTACGCCTGCATTCGGATCCGGGGTGGGCGAGGACTGAGATCCATTGACACCTGGAGTGCCACTTGCAGAGCTCCCAGGAACCTTAGCATATCCAATACGAACAGGCCCAGCACCAGGGAAGATCTCCTTGCCGTTAAGCAACGACTTGGCCTGGATAGCACTTTCAATGCGCTCGAAGTTGACGAAACCGCAATTCTTGTGAGTTAGCACACGGGTGGACTCAATTTTGCCGTAAATGCTGAAGATCGCTTCGAGGGACGTGACCGTGGTTGAAACAGGGATGCTTCCAATCCATAGTGCGCGAGTCGGCCCATCCTGGTTGTTCTCATCAGCCATTTCCGCCGGAGGCCGCATGCCGAGATTGGAAGCATTATTGCCACCCAGATGCATCAATTGCACGGCTTCGGACAGTTCATCGTATTCTCCGCTTTCTGCGATGTTGAGATCAGCCGCACTGAAGCTGTTTTCCAGACGCGATGGTGTAGCCAGGTAGTTGCGAATAGACGAACGCTGAGGCGGCGCTTCCAGAATTCCAGCTGTTCGGGCACGAGGACGGCTGGCAGATGCGTGATTGGCAAAGGCCTGCACAGCCAAGTTGTGCTGGTGTATCTGAGCCTGGGTTGCAGCCAGCTGAGCAGCCGTCGCGGCGGCGGAAGGCGTGACGGTGCCTGACGGGATTTGTGCATATCGGCTCTCGTATTCCAGGTCCTCGTCATCCGCATATTTTTCCTTGGCATTCACAGAGTAGGAACGAATTCTGCTGTTGTTCTTCATCATTGCCAGTTCCGCAAGTAGCGGAGGAAGGGAAGACTGCTGCTGTTGCTGCTGCTGCTGTTGGAGAAGCATATCAACTGACGGCCGCACAAGTGTTGCTCGCGGTTGTTGCGGGGTTTCGGCAAGGCCCAGATAGTCCAAGGTTTTGACATCAGTATCGGCGAGACCGTCTCGAGAGAAGGACGAATGACTTGGCGAAGCCGGGCCCTCAGAGGATCGAATGCTTGTGAGTGTCGTAGCCCGGTCGCGGCCTGTTGCCCAGCTAGTCGAAAACAGAGACGGCCCGAATGGACCGGAAGTTCCGAGGAAATTTGCTCGCTGCGGCATAGAGCCAGCTCGGAGACGCGAGAGGGAGCCTGCGCTATTTCCGCCTGCGGTAGTTGCAGTCTTTGCGCCTGTGTCAATGCCAGTAACCCCAGTTGGACGGAAAGGGCTGGTCGAAGGCGTAGGCCTTGAGGTCTGGGCTATGTAAGGTTGTTGAAGGTTCGCTTCGTTCAGCGCACCGACGGGTGAGAACCTCGAGGGAACGGTCCCAGCTCTAGCTCTTCGAGCACTGCTATTCATCGAGCCGCTTGAGGTGGGCACTAAGTCGGGAAATCCTTCTTGGCTTGGGGACTCGGGGATGTTCTCGCGCAGGGGGGTTGAATGGCCACTGGTCGGGGGACCCCAGATACTAGGAGAAACACCTTCCTCTGCTTGAATTTCACGTGCGCTAGAATGAAGAGCGGCTAATGTCAGTCATCGGACATTCAAATACAACTCTACTTCATCGCGGACGGAGAACTGCCTACCGTTTCGAGTATAAACGTGCACCGAGTTCATGGGATGGGGATCCAGCCCCTAGCCTCGCACTTCCAATGGAGCCTGCAGCACCGTTCAGGCCGGTTGATGATCCGAACGGCGGCTTCATACCAGCAGAACCCGATAGGTCGCTAGGAGAGCTGCGCCCCGTGCTAGTTCCCGACATCGGTTGGGTAGTTGGAATATAATTGAGGTTCATGTGGCCCTCTGGTCGTGAAACGGGTAACATTATGTATTATATCCCTCCACCTCAACAAAGGCGGACACCTAAAACTTAGCGCACTTGAGGATGATAACGAAGGATGATGGTTTTCGTAGGGATTGCCAAATTGTTGTTCAGTCAAAGAGCCAATTCGCGCGATTCATATGCCAGTCCGATTATTAAGGTGACGGAGAGAAGTGAAGCGCTAAACCGCCAGATTTTGGGTGAACAGGCAGTAAACAATTCTGCGTATGGGTATTAAAATACTCAAATACGCGATGCGTCGCTGCGCGGTGTGAATGTGCTCGTGGCGTGGATCGGCGAGGACTGGTTCCAGAAGAATACGTATGCTCTAACAATCACAAAAGGCCAAGAGCAGGGCAAAAGAGGTGCAAAATCGTGAAAAGCTGTGCGTAAACCGTTATGAGGGGACCAGTCGACGGTTATGACACTCGGGTAAGAAATGTCTTAGACCAGTGTCCAGATTCGATGGCCACGATCTACCGCGGTGATCAGATTTCCCACCAAAACACTCGGCTCCGCTCGAAACGACCGTAAAGACTCGCGGTGTTGTCTGGACAAGCAACTCGAGCGACGGGGAGGAAGGTTGATAGAAATCAGGAGAAGAGACGCGGCGGCCGTTGAGGAACGGGAGATCCAAAAGGTCGGTCGACTAGAGGTGGCTGGAAATAAACTGCGCGCGTTCGGGCAGAAGCCTAAAAAAAGATACAAGAATGGAAAAGACCGGAGATTGAGGAACGGATAAAGATGGATACGATGGCGAAAAGATTAAGAGTGGAGGCAAAGAAAAGGAACAATGGAGATAGAAAAGTGAAGAAGGGGATGAGGGGGTGGGTGGTGGATGTTGAAGGGAGAGGGGGAGGGGGTAAAGTAAAGAGAAGGGAAGAAGAGAGAGAGAGAGAAGCTGTGGGTTATGGTGGAGGAGAGGAGTTGCTTGTTAGGTTAGGCGGAGAGAGCGGGAGAGACACAGAGGATGGAAAAGACGGGAGTTAGTTTCACAGCGAGGAACGAAGGAAAGTGGAAGCTCTCTCAGGCTCTCGACTTTGCCGGATCCCCGGAAGAGGGCATGTCATATAGTCGGCTTCGTGGTTGGCCGGCTCAACCGGTCTTGGGATTTATTGTTATTGGGACGGAGTTATGATTCTTACTTCTGTCACGGCGGAGTTCTCAAGGTACCAGCAAAGCTTGTTGAACCATGCAATCATCCAACACAGTGAGTCGATTGATTTCAATTCATTGTCTTATTAGGATTGTTGTGTTGGTGGTGAATCTCATACTTGGCAGGGCAGAGACTGATCACCTGGTGGTTTGTAAATGGTAGATGGCAGTGTGTTCCACCCGATTTGCCTCCTGATTCTTCTTAGACATACGAGCACATTTAGTTCCCAGTCAGAGACATTACCACAGCTGAGAATATAATCAGCAGCAGACAGTCTGGTGATAACACAACCCTCCACCTCCAGGATCACCGTCTAATAACAATGAAGTTTGGCCTACAGCCCCTATAATTATGAAACATAGCACCAAGAGTAGTTCGTCATGGCACCTAACAAGTACACAACATGATAGGCTGCTGATTCCTGCGCCAGAAAGCAAGCAGAGACTGCCAATGGCGTGTTGGACATCTTGAAACCGAGGATGTTGATTGACCCCGACCGGGTGATGCTCGCCCTGAAACATGCTAAAACCCCGCATTCCAAGGTCCGTCTTTATGCGAAGTATGTTTTTAAGCTCGATACTACGAGTACCTAGAACAGTACAGAGGAAAATAGATATTACCGAGTGCTTCGCGCCGTAGGACATGTAAAGAGTTCGACCAACAGATCCCTTCTCGCTAATGGCTTTTATCCTAGTGGTGTGCTGGTTCCGCCTAGCCGGGAGACCACGGATATAATTCTCATGCGCCCGCAGACTGGCGACTTGTCTTTCTATGATGAACAATTTATATTCAGGCTTGCAGCGGATGTACGGTGGCTTCGTATTCGGCATGCCGCTCTAAAACAGCACACCTTTGATTGGTCTCATGCTAGATTTAAGAAAGGAACCCATCATTCCAGAGACTGCGGTTCCTGATAATGACCAGAACATACTAGGCACGACTCAAGGTCATGTTGAGCTCTAGTCACCAATGAGGCCGATCCTTATCCTCAGCCACCGGCCCTGTCTTTAAAAAGACGGCAAAAAGAGCTTTCTGTCCGTGGCCATATGATCAACCAAGTTATCTTGGTATTCAAGACACGAAACTACCACTCGAGAGTTTAACCATTCTAGTCCTTCCTATGTTATTCGTAATCAAAGACATCAATACAGGAGAGAGGAACGGCCAGAGGGAAATACCACCACCGCCTCCCATATGCGGACGCCAACCTTGCCCGCTTCCCTTCGCTGATCCTTGGGTGGGAGAGGTGATCATCACCACAACTAACCAAAGGTATAGACTACAAGTTAGTCGAAAGTCGTCAGAGCCTATCCACCTACAAGAGATTGACTCTGGCTGAGCCTCCCTCTGGTCAGTGAGCTGCCCCTCTAACACTGATGCACAAGCGACAGAGGCCTAGTGTACAACATGGTGCACGGATACCCAGCATTGACCAGCTCCGAAGATGGGTCGCTTCTGGGTGCATTGACTACCGACCCAGCGAACTGGTGGACGCCTTTGTGGGAACCTGTGGTGAGGATGATCGTGGACTTGAACATAGGTAGGGCTGTGGTTATCAAGACTGTAGTAGAGGATTCTTAATCCCCGATGTTTACGGCCTCGCTAGTCACCGATTACAGCCACAGTACTGGCATCTTCAAATGAAGTTATCTGAGCATCTATGGATATGATATGTGGTTTGGTAGATGTTCGATGTTGAAGTCCTCCCTAACTAGTCCCTTGTGATACCTGGGTCCTTTTACACAAAGGAACGAGGTCAGCGGCAGTCCAATTAGTGATATTAGACCTATATTATAGAGGGCCTTCCCATCGCAGTTGCTGTAATTCAAAGCAATCCAGCGCTATCCCAAATCTGACATCGGCATTCCCAGGAAATTTAGTGGACTTCGCTCTCCTGTATAGTTACGTCCTGTCTCAATGCAGATCTTGTTGTGTTTATTCCGGAGAAGACGAATGGTCGGCTGTGCTCCTCGAGAGACCGATCCTGAATGTTTGCAACAGTGGAAGAAGTCAAGTCATTTCTTCCCCGACAACATGCCGAGTAGAAAGGAAATTGTTTTCTGGGTCGCATTGTTCTCTCAGAAGAGAGGAAACCTTGGAACCTGCATGTTCAGACAAGAAGGCTTCTTGTAACGATGACTACGTCCGGATGGATGCACGACACCGTTCTCACTACGAGAACGAGGGATCATCTCAAAAACTGGCATCTTGCAGACATTGCCATGTAATCAGCCATTCGTAAACTTCCCTGCCTCTCCAGAGGTTCGAAAATCAGAGCAGAACATCGGCCTTGGCCCTGTGAGTCTTCGTCATGGCTTCAAAAAGCAGTCGAGTTATTTTCCCCTCGGAGATATATGCTGAGTACTCCATATAATGCAAGCAAGGGCTTGGTGTCCTGAACAGCAAGGGGTCAGTCCTTTCTGTTTGGTTTCGTCATATCTTGACCAAGGAACAGAGAACAACAGGCGCCAATTAACTTCATCTTTACTCAGTACAATAAATACTGGTAATACTGACATAAGAGCAGTATATGAACGGGAACAGCTCGAAGCCTCAGACTAGACAGTAATGATCCCTAGCTTGGGACCGAGAAGCTTCATCTGCAGCGCAAAACAGTTTGTGTAACGCACTTTTGAATGTATTGACCGCGGATGGTAAGCATAGCATCCATACCTGACCCAATAATCACCACTCCTACCGAAATTGACAGTTGTAAAAGTTTATTTAAGGTGTACTACCAGGTAGACACATGAGTTCCTTTTATTGTTTAGGTGAATTCTGCCCAGAGTCAGAGTTAAAACCAATTCAATTGTAGTAAATCAAATACCTGTAGTAAATCAAATACCCGTTGAGATCCTATTGAATGTTCACTGGATCTGGGATCTGACCGCATGTCACGTGAGGATGTTGATGCCCGGGGCAACAAGGTTAGTGAGGGTGAATTTCCGCACCGCCTGCCTGCCTGCCTTTCCGCAGCGCAGCTGTCGGCACCGCTAGTCGCATGATCTAGTCAAAAAATTCACTTTGCCATCACTGCTCTTTTATATATACTACCCAATCCACATCAGTGTCTCAGGAGAAGTGGAGACGCATGGCAGACGTGGTGAAGCTGCTGTGACTTGACGCGCCTTAGCCGACTCGCGTCTTATCGTGGCTTGACGGTCGGCTTCTACTGAACGAGTTCGCTTTACCTGCTTCGAGGGACACCTTTCCGATCAACGGGTCTACGAACAATGGCCGAACATGAAGCCCCATCCTCCGCGGAGGAGGAGCCTCAGGTCGAGTCGCTCGTCCAGGGACGCGCCAAAAGAAGCACCGCAGGGCTTCACATGTCGGCTCTTCTGGATGCTGCCGCAGACGACGACCTTGCACTGCTGTTTGAAGAAGTTGAAGACGACAATGAGTTTGCCGTGGATGCAGAGGAGATGGGTGGAGAGGAGGATGATATGCGCTTTGATTCTTCGTCGGAGGATGAAGACGACCAGGGACCCAGCGCCAAGGACGACGACTTTGAAGGCGAACAGCAACTACAGAAGGAAGAGCGGGCAGATAAGAAGAAGAAGAGAGCGAAGGACGACCTTCGATATAAGATAGCCGCCAAGAGAGTCAAGATCGATCCCACCGCGGTGTCCGCAGTGCCTGCCCCCCGGCCGAAAAAGAAGTCCGAACGCGTTTCGTGGATTCCGACCCCCGAAGAAGGGCCAACGAGGTCGTCGTCTCGTCGACAAACCATGCAGAACAAGGAACTCACGCATGCACGACTCAAAGATAGCGAGGAGAAGCGCATCCGTCTCATAGCGACCATGGAGGAGGCAGCGAAGCGGAAAGCTCAATTCAAGCCGAAGGA